GAAACTTTTTTCAATCGGTTGAATTGGAAGGGCTTTTATTTCTCAATTTTTATTATTTCTATCAAACCTTCTGCCTTTCCTTAAAGCGAGATGGCCTAAACTTTTCAAAACATACGGATGTTGCTTTAATTATTTACCTATCAAATTTTCGTAACTTTTCAATTTGAATACTATTTAATTTATTGGCGCGAAAGTTCTATTTTTGTTTTTTGGGTTTCAGATTTTATCTTCATATAATGTCGAACTTTTAAAATGCTTCATGAGTTAAAACTTTTGTTCATGAAAAATCCGTTATTGTTTTGCAAATCCGCAATAGTTCCTTTTGGCAAGAAACTATAAGCATTTGACAGAAGTGGGGGCAACTTGCAAGTTACATTTCATGCCGTGCACGACTAAACCTTAGCCTTATGGATCGTTTCTCTATCCATGAATTGTGCAGACGAACCAAGCTAGTAGCTAAAATTAAAGTCTTATTCATTTATTAGCAGGGGACCCCCATCCATGTGTTCAATCTTGTGCCACATACTCGTACTGAAGGTCAAACATACTGTCATACGGCGCAAGTCTTTGTCACTCAGCATTTCGAACCACCCCTCATGGGACCGAAACCAAAGGACTACAAGAATCAGTCCAATGGTAGTTTAAGTTCATAGCTCTGTAAAACAGCTCCACTCGCGAAAGAAACATGGATTTCCTCAGAAATGGTGTGTTGCTCTCATTGTCCTCTCTGGTTCTTTCTCTTCTCTTGGCTCTTGTTATCAAAATGCTGCACAAACTATGGTGGATTCCAATTCAAATGCAAAGAAAGATGGCTGCCCAAGGAATCAAAGGTCCAGCTTACGGGTTCTTCCATGGAAGCACCACAGAGATGCTTCGAATGAAGAGGGAAGCCACCAGCAGACCCATGAGCCTTTCTCACGATATTTTCCCTTACGTCCAGCCTCACTTCCACAAGTGGGCTCAAACTTATGGTGATTAATAGTCCTGTAGTTGACTCAGTTTATCGATGTTAAGATCACGAGATATCACTTGCGAAGTACTTTCTGAACACCCATTTGCTGGACAGGATGTGACATGCCGTTTGAGAGGATATTGATTTGTATTTGAGAACAGGCTCGTTCTTAACTCTTCAATCTATGTTACTCACAAAAATTAAAAAATGTCGCAGGGAGAAATTTCTTGGTGTGGCATGGCCCTCAAGCTTTCCTAGTTGTCTCGGATCTGGACATGGTTAAAGAGGTACTTAATGATAAAGACCACACTTTTTCAAAAATTTTCCTCCAAGACCAAGTGAAGAAGCTTGTAGGTGATGGACTGGTGACATCTGAAGGCGAGCAATGGGCAAAGCACCGAAAGCTGGCGAATTTCGCTTTTCACGGGGGAAGTCTGAAGGTACATTTGAGACATTATTTGTATGCTGGCCATGGGAGCCTTGCTTCCAAAACAAACATGGTAGGAATTAGAATTAGTGAAGTAATTTTGTGGGAGGTATTGGACATGAGAGTGCTTTTCAAATTGTGCTTATGATGGAATGTCAATCCATTTGTTTGCAGAGTATGGTTCCGGCAATGGTGGACTGTGCTCATATTATGATCCAGAGATGGCGTGATCGAGAATGCCTGGAAATCGATGTTTATGAAGAATTTAAACTGTGCACATCGGATGCAATATCGAAAACTGCATTTGGGAGCAGCTACGTTGAAGGCAAAACTGTTTTTGAGAACGTGGTTAAGTTGGGATTGACAATGGCAAAAGCTTCTTCACAAATAAGATTACCTGGAGTCAGGTAAATAAATTTTACGACATGGAGGGTAGTAAAAACATTCAGACAGGACTTCGAATGATTGTCATCCTATGTAATGCGGTCATTATTCGATGTGTCTGCTTTTTGGTCTTTTGGACTTTTACGACGGATAGGATGCAACAGAATACAGCACCCCCTAGAGTTCTTGCATATCACAGTTTGTTTCGCAGATGAACAAAATACTTGGGTTTTATAGTACTTGCTTGTGTGGCTTCTTGTTGTTACAGTAAGCTCTGGAAACCGACTTTTGAGATTGAGGCAGAGAAACTTGAGAAAGGGTTACGAGAAGCTGTGTTAAAGATTATCAAAAGAAGACAACAGAAGATGAATTCCGGAGAGATGGAGAGCTACGGGAATGATTTCCTAGGGTTACTTTTAACGGCTATGCACGATGTTGATGAGAACAAGAAAATCACATTCGATAATGTAATTGCTGAGTGCAAGACGTTCTATTCTGCTGGATTTGAAACCTTAAGCTCATTACTCGCATGGACAGTCTTCCTCCTAGCAATTCACACTGATTGGCAACAAGAAGCAAGGAAGGAGGTCCTTGATACACTTGGAGATCAAGATCCCGATTTCAATGGAACTACAAAGCTCAAGAAGGTAAGAGAAGGTGATTGTAAAAGAATTTTCCTTGAAACAGAGCTAATAAATGTCTATTTCCGAAAGCTGTCTGATAATGCTTGTAATGAGACTACTTTTGCCTATGTACCCAAATTGTTCTACCGCAAAGAACAACACAAGCTTCTTTATCTTCTTGTGTTTTCGAAGAATCTTCAATTATTCTTCTCCTCATGAATGACTCTGGCACTTGTGTATGTGCAGATGGGCATGATCATAAACGAATCTCTCCGCTTATATCCTCCAGGAGTCGGTGTCCCTAGAAAAGTGACTAGGCAAGCAAAACTCGGTGATCTCATTCTTCCTGCAGGTATAATGGTACACATACCAATCCTAAAGATTCACCACGACCCTCAAATTTGGGGAGATGATGCACATCTTTTCAAGCCAGAGAGATTCTCAGAAGGAGTTGCTAAGGCTACAAACAACAATCCTGCGAAATTCCTTCCCTTTGGCCTTGGACCCAGAAATTGTGTTGGCCTGAATTTCGCGACAGTTGAAGCTAAAATTGTTCTTGCTATGATTCTGCAGCGATTCAGTTTCACCCTCTCCCCTGCTTATGTCCACTCCCCTGTCGAACTTCACAATTCTCGCCCTCAATATGGAGTTCAGGTTATCCTCAATGCAACATAGTGTGAACTGCGAAGATGTATATGTGTAAGTGGGCGAAAAAACAGGATGCACGTGTATGCTTTTGCTGTTTTAAGACTTAACCAGAACTGGGACCACCTGCCGAGTTAATTGGCACAGATAGGTGCCTTTCCTGATTGAGATCGTGCAATTTGGCCTCTATAATGCATTCTACTGTGATTACATGGGTGTTTGATCAGAATATGCCACTTTTCTTTTGCCCACACCATTCTGTCGAGATTCAAAAAGTATCAAATGGTTACAACGCAATGATTGCACGCAACTGAGATCATAACATGTTGAAGAGGTAATTCTCTTATGATCTCAGGAGCGCTTGATGGTCACAATATGGAGTTGAGTGTTTCTCAACCCACTATAGTGTAAACATCAACTTGTGTCTTTCATTTACCTATGTATCAAATTGTTTAAGAACTCATATAAAGCCTTGAAAGAAGAAATTTGTTTCTTTACATGAGCGTCGTTAATCCAATGATATGTGCAGAGTAAGAAGACAATATTTTCTCGCAAAAGTAGTCAAGAAAATTCCGTACATGTTGCCCAGTACCCATTCAAGAACTCATCCATCCAAATCTTTAACTTCGACAAGTTTTGTGAGTCCTTGTACCCTGATATTTCGTTCTTTTAATCAGACTTCCTTGATTGGGGATTTTACATGCTATTAGTCCATTACCATGTTAAACATCATTAGAAACATGACCGTATTTTAGGACCACGAGCAATCTTTAATTTAGAAGAATAGGGAAAGCCTTCCCCTATTTCAGTCGTACCTTTTGCTTTCTAAAAACTTAATCTGTTAGGTGAAATCGATAAGAGGTAAGCATACGAAGTTGAGTGATTTGCAACCCTCTACAGTGTAAGCATCAAAATGTATGTTATAATTATGAATCTATGCCTCCTAAGTAGCAAATTGTTTAAGAACTCATATATAACCTGCTGAAAGAAGTAATTTTTTTCTTTACATGAGTGTCGTTAATCCGATGTACGCGGAGTAAGTAGACAATATTTTCTCGTAAAAATAGTCGGAAAAAAATTCCATGCATGATGTCTAGTTCCCATTCATGAATCTGCAACTTCAAGTCTTCAACAAGTTTTGCAGGTTCTTTCACACCAGTATTGCATACGTTTAGCCAGACTTCCTTAATTGGGGATATTACACGCTAACAGTCCATTACCGTGTTAAAGTTCATTAGAAACATGACCATAGTTTAGGCGCACGAGCAATCTTGAGTTTAGAAGATTGGCACTTGGAGACGAAAGCAAACTCAAACCCACAGGGAAAGCCTTCCCCTATTTCAGTCTTACCTTTTGCTTATCAGGGAGAGTGGCAACGGTGAGCTCAAGGCCGAAACCTTGCTAAAGAAGAACTACTGATTGCTAAAAGAACTGGAAAGAGCAAAAGAGCTCTCCGGGTTTGTACTATGTTGGAAAATGAAGCATGACAAAACTTGGGAAGAAAATTTTCCAACATTGCAAGTGCCAAATAAAGTTTCTCTAAACAAGAAACAGAATTCCTCAAGGAAGCATTCATCCTTATCCTAGGAAGATCGATGTGCTGGTGCTTCACTTATCAACGATAAGCTTTGCTCTGGCATGGCCTTCGTTGATCTGGAACTGCTCTCCAATACCGAAGTGAGCCATCAATAGCCAAACAAAAGTTACTAGCTCACCGCCTTTACTAAGTACATGGGCATGCGTTTCGGCCCTACAATGACTGGCTGCATATGACAACAGTTCCACCCATACCCTGCTCATGATCTTCCACTTACCTTTGTTTAGCTTCTCCAGCTCTTTGGCCAAGATGCATCCATCGAACAACACGGATTTGCTCCGATCACCCTTTACATCCACTGGTTTGACGCTTGTGTCCACCTCGTAGATCTTATTGCAAGCGTTCTTCAGTTTAGCCACATTTTCCTCTCCCTTCTTAGTCTTCTCAGAAACCATTTTGATCCCCCGTCTGCTGAAGAACTTCCTGGCCTCGGCACAGGTGTCTCGGTACCTAATCTGGCCGATGCCCGCAACAGCGGACATCATCTTGGGTTGCTTCACTAGGAGATATAACATGTAGTCCGATAGGATCTTACTGAATATCCTATAATTTTGGGCATCAGGGTTGGGGTTGTCGTCTTTGTTGTAGCAGATCTCCGTAGCAATGTGCCACAATAGAAGACTACGGTCGTACTCGACTTCCTCGACATATTGCATCAAACGGGAACATTCTTGCTCCCTCACGCTGCCCTGGAGAACCCATTCACCTCGTGCCTCACATATCTTCCTGGCCGTCTCAGCGTCATCTGCGAATGACACCTTGTCTTGCAACTCGTCGAATATAAACTCCCAAAGCTTCTTGATGAAGGGATTACTGGACACATATTTGATTTCGTCGAGTATGTCCGCTATGCCCAATTTATCAGTGATAAAACTGAAGATTTTTTTGGAAACGTGAGCAACATCTCTGAAGATGCAGCCCAAAAATAAGCAACTTGAAATTGATTCACCAAGGGAGCTAGCCAGGACATTACCATTCCCATGATGTAGCATGGAAAACTGACAATTTTACCGAAACAGCTGCTCAGGCACCCCTGCGGTTTGGAGATTCTTGTTGGACGCTCTTTCAGACAATAGGATAACAGGTTGTAAACCGAGATGGTCTCAGACCACCTTCGGAACATTACTGGTGTATCGAACACATCATACTCAACATTGCCTATTCGACATTTAGTCTTGCCCAAATCCTTCCTCCGATCCATTATCGAGAGGAATTGTGCACCGACGAGTTTATCAAACAGGATCGCCATTTTGGATCTTCTCTTGATATTTTTTATGGTAGCAACAGTCCAATCAGAGAAAATGGCCATAGAAAGAGCTATTGCATCTAGAGAAACAGCCCCGTAGAGCAAGCAGTAGGTAATTCCAACATCAAAACTATGGAATCCATTCTTCTTTAGGCAGGTGAACAACACGAGCTACCACGATATTCGCAAATGCAAAGAACCGAAAAATATAACCAACTATAGAATGTACCACCCGGACTTTGGTGTACAGGACCTTGTACATGAAGTTGAGCTCGACCGCTATGACTTTGAAAGCATCCTCTGCAGACCTCTGCTGGAAAAACTGCCGGCTCTCGTGCCGCTCACGAAAGCTGAAGATGAGATCGACAATTAGACCCTTGAAGATTTCGAAGAAGTGGTGGGCATGCATCACGACGTCGCTCTTGGAAAGAATCCCTTCTTTCACGCCGTCATAGGTCATAGTCTTAGATTCTCTGTCGGGTTCTCCGGTGATATTGATGCGGGCTGGGAGCTTGGCCTCCTTCCGCGATGAGTACTCATCCATAAACTTCGCGTAGTTTGGACCCGGATCGGGCTCTTTGAGCATGGATTTCTTGAAAGTCTCCAGGCTTGCAAGATACAAAGCTCTAGTCCTCTCTGCATACTTGATCAACCCAGCAAGAAGCATCAGTATGGTTGGCACTAAAAGCTTGTTATGGGGCAGTGTCTGGAGGAACACATAGCACGCGGCAAAAACTTGGAAAAGAAGGCCAAGCAAGTGCCGCAGCCAGAGGGCATTATCTTCCAGCGCAAAGGCAGTGATGGTGTCTGGACCGCCAAGATGCACCAGAAGGAAAGGTGCCCAGAATGCTAAGAGATCTCCGTTGTCGGCCAGAGCAGAGTCATCGCCTTGGCTGTTGGAAATGAGTCCTACCGCAAACGCAGCAGCCCAATCGGCCAGCAAGTAAGCCGACCACAAGACGAACATCATGAACATGTTGGCCGTTCTCTTCCTGAACGGTGCAAAGAAGATGAGGATGGTCTGAAGAGAGAGGCTCAGGATGATGAAGCCCCTGAGGTTCCATGTGTCCCAAACCTTCCTGATGCTCGCCGGAATGGGATCGAAAGCCATGTTTTGTTCTTGTGATTACTTGAAGTGAAACCTCTCTAGTTACAACCTCACTCAAGCAACTCAAGTTTCAATTTTTTTTTTTAAAGAAAAAGAATTAGGGAAACTCAAAGGCAGGAGAAGAAAAGGCCATTAGTCTGAGAATCAAGAAACCAGAGATCTTTTTCCTGAGGTATTGATCATTTGGCCATGCTGTATTTTGTGAACACTTGCTTCACAATTTCCACGTCAACGAAAGCATACCCAGCATTTCTTTCTTTTTCCACTAAAATGATAAGCTAAAACAATCCATAAACAATGACTTACCTTGGCGTTTCACATGGCAAGTCTCCCAAAAGATCTTTAAGAGAGAGAGAAGAAGTAAAAAAGAATTACCCATCACATTACTTTCAGAGAAAAGTTAGTAACAAAGTTTTCTGCTTTATAATTGGATGAAGCACATGAGGGAATAGAAACCATCTCAGAATTGGCTAGAATTGTACATAAAATGAATAAACAATGACTCAAGTAACTTTTTGGTTGACCAAAAAGGCCTTGACTTGAGCTTGTTTTAATGGGGTCGAAGGCCATCCCTGTTCACATTTCTGACTGCTCTGCAGCTGTCCCTGATGGGAATGGCATAACCCCCAGCAAGCTGAGCACATAATGTACTTTACATTTGCAAGTGAAGTGTATACAATGCTGTGATTTATTATTAAGTGGAGAATGACATTTTCTTATTAGTATATATGATGAATTAATCTTTCTCATTGTATTGAGGCGTGCATGACAGAAACCCACCATCACAAAGTATCTAGGAAAAGGACAACTACAATCAATGACCCACATAACCTTTTACTGTGCAAGTTTCCCTCATCTGAACAAAATAGATATACATTTTATTAATGATTGAACTCATGTTTACTGGCACAAAAAGAAACAGGGATGGTGGAAATTTTCTCACCATTGATAATAGGAGCCATCGACTGCATTCCATTTGGATTCTCAGTATCTTTTTGCTTTTCATTTTTTACTTTTACCCATCTTTTTGTATAGTTGACACAATAGGTGAGAAGAAAGAAATCTCCATCTCAAATATTCTTAACACCAGCCTAAGTGGGCCACCTCTGAGGAAATCCACCAATAAGAAGTTCAGAACCATGGTTTGACCATTCAAAATTGGATGATCATACCAATGATCTCCCTCTATAATGTTTATACAAAGAACGATCTCAGCAGAAAATTCAAATTTGGAGTAATTGAATTAAGGTCACCCCCATTTATCTGGTGTAGGTGTGAATGTAGACTAAGGGTGCGAATGATAACCATTCTGCTCCAGAAATCAAATTCTTGTCAGAAATTGATTTTTGGAATTCTTGCCAGAAATTGATTTCTGGAGGAGAAATCTGTTTGGTAAAACATGACTAATTCTGCTCCAGAAATTGATTTTTGGAACAGAAATCTATTTTGATTTGTTGATTTTTTTTGCACCTAAAAAAATTTAAATTTTACTTAAAGTGGGTGGCCACATGTATTATAAGCCATTCTGTAAAGTTTTGAAATTTTTGATTTTTTTTAATTTTTTTTTGGCACCTAAAAATTTTTAAATTTCACTCAAAGTGGGTGGTCACAGGTATTCTAAGCCATTTTGTGAAGTTTTGAATTTTTTTTTATTTTTTTTTTTGGGCACCTCAAAAAATTTAAATTTTACTCAAAGTGGGTGGCTACAGATATTCTAAGCCATTCTGTGAAATTTTTTATTTTTTATTTTTTTTTATTTTTTTTGGGCACCTCAAAAAATTTAAATTTCACTCAAAGTGGGTGGCCACAGGTATTTTAAGCCATTTTGTGAAGTTTTGAAATTTTTATTTTTTTATTATTTTTCTTTTTTTGGGCACCTCAAAAAATTTAAATTTCACTCAAAGTGGATGGCCACAGGTATTCTAAGCCATTTTGTGAAATTTTGAAATTTTTGATTTTTTCATTTTTTGAAATTTTTTATTTCTTGTAAAAAAGGAAATTTGGGCTAGAATGCATTCTGGAAGAGAGAAGCTACAAAAAGTAGCTTCTCTTTTTTGGGCCAAAACTCATTCTGGAAGCAAAAATTCATTCTAGAGCAAAAAAAAGAATGAAGTTTTACCAAACGCGTTTTTATTCCAGAATGCAAAAATTGCTCCAGAATGTATTCCAAAATTATTTTAACAAATGCATTTCTATTCCGGAATGCATTCTGGAGCAGAATTTCTGCTCCAGAATGGATTCCATGCGCGCCCTAACAGACCAACTTTTAAATTAATCATTACCAACTGGCCAACTGTTAAGGACATTAATAAAAAGAAAGCTTTTATGTATAAAGTTAGTTATTTCGGAGAGTTTTTAAGGTAACCCTCAAGGCTCTGAAAGAAACAAGAGCCTCTCTATTGATTTTATCAGAACTCCAGAATTACTTTTTCTGGGTGTACATTCTTGGAGGCATATCATCTGACAGCATACAAACAGATTCGAGTAAAAATGCCTTCGGACAGTCATGTCTCTCTTCCTCCAAAACCTCTTGAAGAAGAAATGAGGACGAATTCAGGCGTTATTATGGCTCGAGAGATCGAGCTGTACCTGCTCAAGAAGTTCCAAGATGGAATAAACCCTAAAGTTGCATTATACAAAGACTTCCAGAAGCTGAAGAAACCGCTTAAAGATGGACTCAGCTCATCTTCATGCGAGGAAAAATCGATCAGGGACAATCTCTATTACCTCAACATGGCAAAAGTACACAAGAAGTGCCATAACTTATGTACGGCGATCACTTTGGTGCCATAACTTTTTTTCGGATCACTTTGGTGCCAAGTCGGAGGAAAAGTGATCACTTTAGTGCCAATTTAGCCGGAAATCCGACGTGGCATTTTTTATTAATTTTTGACGCCGACGTGGCTCGCCGGAGGCTGAGTCAGCGTGTACAGTCAGCATTTTTTATTTTAAATAATTTTTTCCAGCATGTACAGTCAGCATTTTTAATTTTAAATATTTTTTTTCCTCTTCTTTCCTTTTTCTTTTCTCCCCTCGCCGGCCGGTTGCCGGTGGCCGGCCGGCCACCGGTGAAGCCTGGGAAGGGCTGGACGAGGGCGGTCTTGCCCATGGCCGGCGAGGGGCGGCCTCGCCGGCGACAGGCGAGGCCGCTCCTCGCCGGCCTGTGCGAGGCCGTCCCTCACCGGATCTAGTCGAGGCGGGCGAGGGTCGCCCCGCTGGGCGGGCGAGGGTCGCCCTCGCCCGAGTCGGGCGTGGGCGACCCTAGCCCGACGCCGGCGAGGGTCGCCCTCGCGGATCCGGCGAGGCTCGCCTCCCCTGGGCCGGCGAGAGGCGGCCTCGCTGTCTCCGGCGAGAGGCGGCCTCGCCTGTCTCCGGCGAGGCCGCCCCTCGCCGGCCATGGGCAAGGCCGCCCTCGCCCAGCCCTTCCCGGGCTTCGCCGGTGGCCGGCCGGCCACCGGCAACCGGCCGGCGAGGGGAGAAAAGAAAAAAAAAGAAAAGAAAAGAAAAAGGAAAGAAGAGGAAAAAAAAAGAAAAAAATATTTAAAATTAAAAATGCTGACGGTACACGCTGGAAAAAATTATTTAAAATAAAAAATGCTGACTGTACACGTTGACTCAGCCTCCGGCGAGCCACGTCGGCGTCAAAAATTAATAAAAAATGCCACGTCGGATTTCCGGCCAAATTGACACTAAAGTGATATCTTTTCCTCCGACTTGGCACCAAAGTGATCCGAAAAAAAGTTATGGCACCAAAGTGATCACCGTACACAAGTTATGGCACTTCTGGTGTACTTTTGCCCCTCAACAATATCCTGACCGAGTGCCAGACACTATCAAAGAAGTAGATTTTGACCAAATACAGAATAAAGAGCAGCCTGGAGAAGATCCAGGTGGAACTTGAGCACAAATTGGGAACCAGCAGGAGCAATAATACTCCACAAGATAGCAATGGCGGATGCTTGACGAAGAGCCGAGAAGTTTCCGGTCCAATTCCTTTGCCAGCAGATCACGGGTTTGATTGCGAACTGGTGTTACTGGAATCTCTGATCAAGAAACCTAGCTCCGACAAATTCAAGGCGATTGGTGTGGTGGGGAACGGCGGGATTGGCAAAACAACTCTATGCCAACTGTTCTTTAGCAACCCAAAGAGGACCAGTGTCACACCCCGAACACAACCAAAACGGGATCATAACACGGCCATCCTTTCACCCAAAGGACGCAGCTTCAACTTAAACAAAACCCGAATAACATCAGAGCTTTCTAAAACCATCAAAATGATATATACAAATCCAACAAAAAGCTATTCCAATAGCTCAACGTCACTATGTACAACGTACCCAAAATCCCACAATCAAAAAGAAATCCTCCGACTAATGCCCGCTCACGCCCTACTTGCGGCCAGCAGAAGAACCTAAAAGGTATGTAAGATAAGGGGTGAGCTACCATGGCTCAGTGAGTAACATATTTCTTCTAAGCGGACCGAACAATCACTATGCAATAGTATCAAAAATGTCACAGCCCATAACTCAAACTCAATGTACAATATAGCCAAAAATATCTCAAAGGTATAATAATTTTTCAATAAAAGTCATCCTTATCAGATTACTCAATAAAAACTCACTTAACAACAATAGCCAATCATCAATGATCTATCTATTGACTAATCTCATCACATAACACGTTGATGGTTCATCCATCAACCAATCTCATGCTCGTCATCAAACTATGGTCAAGTTTAACGCCGTGACAAAGGCGACCAAGTTTACTCCTTTTGGCAAGGTCTACCACCTATTATAAGCCGGCGCTTCGGCCCAAAAGATATCCTGACAGTATGCATACTCCCCCCTCAACGGGTTCTCAATATAGGAATACGAGCAGCAGCAACTTATAACTCAATCCAGAAATCCATAATCAACACCAATAAATCCATTTCACAAAACATTTCGCAACAAGAATAGCCCTCGGCTAATCCTCTTCACAAAACCTTTAATATAAGCATTCACAAAAGCTTCATTTCAATAACGTCATAAGACTTTTCAACTCATTTCACAATCGACAAAAGGTAGTAAATGATCAATCCAATTTATGCAGAAAACATGCTCCACTGTATTAAAAATTATATCCATTATCAAAATATGAATTTGTAAATTCATAGAAGATATAATGTCCCTCACCTGGTAATCGAAAAACTAACCCATATGTGTTACTCGAGCCGACGGTTCCAAAATCCTATCAAACATACGGAAAACGAATCAAAACCGAGTAATAATTCCCCCTAACGCGCAATTCGAATAAGCTAAGGCTAACTAGCCAATAATCCAACACCCATGTGCCCACGACGGCTTGCTCAAAGGAAAAAAATCTAATGCCAACCACAACGAACTACTCGCGCGCCAAATTTCCACGCATCATAACTTCCTCCACCGGACTCCGTTTTGCGCGCTCTTATAGTCAAAACGAAACTCATCTAGTATACTATGGATGTCCCAACACAGCCAACCCAAACAACAGCCCAAAAACGACCATAAAAGCCCTGGAAAGTACTGTTCACGAAATTCCAGATTATGCTCTCAACTTGAAAATTTGATTTCGGACAAACCGTAACTCCAAATCGATATCCGTCAAAATGCACAGCCCCACAACACCATAATCTTTCATTTTCATGGATATTTAAGACTTGACAACCCAAAAACTTGGACTACGCAGCTCAAATCCACATAACTCTTATTTCCGAGCCCTAATCGAAAAATTACTCCGATAGGACTAACGAGGGTTGCGAGTACTTACTAGTCGTTGCGTTACGTAGTCGGAACGGCTTGGCGAGGACCCACGCGCACAAACCCTCCCTTTCATTTCTTCCCTTTCTCCTCTCCTTTTTGCTTTTCTTTTCCTCTGTTTTTCTTCTGTTCTCCCGCGACCAGCCGCTGCTTTCTTCCTTTTATCTTCACTTTTTGACTTTTTTTTTTTAATCCTCCTTCAGCCTAAGTCTTTTGACCTAGTCAAAAGAAAAGGCAAATGTTACATTCTACCCTCCTTAAAAAATTTCGTCCTCGAAATTTAGCCTTACCTTAACTTTCAAACAAATGAGGGTATTTGTTTCTTGCTTCCTCCTCAAGCTCCCATGTGGCCTCTCTCTCAGTATGATTTTGCCATTGAATTTTCACATAAGGGATTGTGCATCGCCGCAGCACTTGCTCCGTCTTATCCACAATGCGAATAGGCCGTTCTTCATATGTCAGGTTTTCTCTTAACCTTAAAGGAGTGAAATCCAATACGTGTTCAGGATTTGTCACATATTTTTGCAATAAAGATACATGGAACACATTATGAATTCCAGATAATGCTGATGGCAAAGCCAGTTTATAAGCAACTTCACCAATCTTCTCCAATATCAAGAACGGTCCCACATATCTTGGACTTAGTTTCCCACGAGTGCCAAATCTCATAACACCCTTCATAGGTGAAACCTTTAGGAACACGTGATCTCCCACATCAAATTCTATCTTGCGCCTTTTAAGGTCTGCATAGCTTTTTTGACGGCTTTGAGTTGTTTTCAGTCGCTCTCGAATCAACCTGACTTTTTCTTCTGATTGTTGTATAAACTCAAGGCCAGTCAACCTCTTCTCACCAACATCGTCCCAACAAACCGGACTTCTGCATTTTCGACCATACAGTGCTTCAAAAGGTGCCATCTTAATACTGAAATGGTAGCTGTTATTATAGGAGAATTCTGCCAAGTGAAGATGGTCATCTCATGAACCACCGAAGTTAATAACACAGGATCGTAGCATATCCTCTAACGTCTGAATCGTCCTCTCCGATTGCCCGTCTGTCTGTGGATGAAAAGCTGTACTGAAGTTGAGTTTAGTACCCAATGCCCCTTGTAAGCTCTTCTAGAAGTTGGATACAAACCTAGGATCTCGATCAGAAACTATGCTCACTGGAACCCCATGAAGTCTCACTATCTCATTGACGTACCGCTTAGCCATGTCTTCAAGTGAAAGGCCAAATCGATACGACAAAAAGTGGGCCGATTTAGTCAATCGGTCGATAATCACCCATATAGCATTCTTACCGCTTGGCGTTCTCGGTAAACTGACGATGAAGTCTATGGTAATATGCTCCCATTTTCACTTAGGTATCTCAAGTGGATGTAGTTATCCACCTGGTTTCTGATGTTCAATCTTTACTTGCTGACAAACCAGGCATTGATCGACAAACTTTACAATGTTTTTCTTCATGTTGACCCACCAGAAATGTCCTCTCAAATCTCTATACATCTTAGTACTTCTTGGATGAATCGAGTATTTAGTACCATGAGCTGCCTGCAATATTTCCTTTTTCAACTCAGGATCATCAGGAACACATAGCCGACCACGAAACCTCAATGACCCATCTACATGAATACTAAAATCCAACTGTCTCCCAGCTTTTACGCCTTCTCTGATCTTTCCCAACTGAGAATCATCATTCTGTTTAGCCTTAATTTTGTCAATCAATGTCGGTTGTACTCGAAGATTAGCTATCTGAGCACCCAATTGATGCACCAATACCTCCAAATCTAGCTTCCTCATATCCTCAAGGATAGGCTGCTGAGAAGTGAGCAACATTGCCATGTTTCCAGAAAATTACGACTTAAGGCATCCGCTACTACATTTGCCTTACCTGGGTGATAATTGATGGATAAGTCATAATCCTTCAAGAGTTCTAACCATCTCCTCTGCCTCATGTTCAATTCTTTCTGAGTAAAGATGTACTTCAAACTCTTGTGATTAGTAAAGACCTCACATTTCTCACCATACAAGTAGTGTCGCCATATTTTCAAAGCAAATACAACTGCTGCCAATTCAAGATCATGAGTGGGGTAGTTCTTTTCATGTGTCTTCAACTGTCTAGAAGCATAGGCCACCACTTTATCGTCCTGCATAAGAACGCACCCTAAACCTTCTTTAGATGCGTCACAATAAATTGTGAAGCCACTGATTCCTAAAGGTAAGGTTAATATGGGAGCCGTCACTAACCGCCTTTTCAATTCTTGAAAACTGCGCTCACACTGATCAGACCATACAAACTTAACTCCCTTTTGAGTTAGGCGAGTAAGTGGACCAGCTATTTTGGAGAATCCCTCCACAAATCTCCTGTAATAGCCAGCTAGCCCAAGAAAACTTTTCACTTCTGTTACATTGGTAAGGCGATTCCACTGAACAACCGCTTCAACTTTCTTTGGGTCAACTGCGATGCCATTCTTCGAGATAACATGACCCAAGAACTCAATATGATCAAGCCAGAAAGCGCACTTACTGAATTTAGCAAACAATTTCTTCTCACGCAAGGTCTGCAAGACAAGCTTTCAAGTGTTGTTCGTGCTCCTCCAAACTCCTCGAGTACACCAGGATATCATCAATGAACACCACAATGAATTGGTCGAGGTAATGTTTGAATACCCTGTTCATCAAATCCATAAAAGCAGCAGGTGCATTTATCAATCCAAAAGGCATGACAAGAAATTCATAATGCCAATACCTCGTTCTGAAAGCAGTTTTAGATACATCATCTGCTTTAATCTTCAATTGATGATATCCAGAACGAAGGTTGATCTTAGAAAATACCCGAGCTCCCTGAAGTTGATCAAACAAATCATCAATCTGTGGCAAAGGATATTTATTCTTGATCGTTACCTTATTGAGTTCGCGGTAATCTATACAAAGCCGCATGCTACCGTCCTTCTTTTTCACAAATAGGATTGGAGCTCCCCAAGGCGAGGCACTGGGCCTAATAAAGCCCCTATCCAATAATTCCTGCAGCTGTGTTTTCAATTCTTTCAATTCAGATGGTGCCATCCGATATGGTGCCTTCGAGATAGGTCCTGTACCAGGCATCAGATCAATAGAGAACTCAATCTCTCTATCAGGTGGCAAGCCTGGCAAATCCTCAGGAAACACATTAGGAAATTCTCTAACAACTGGAACATTTTCCAGCTTCACAACTTCTTTACTGGTGTCTTTTACGCAAGCTAGATATCCATAACCACCTTTCCTTAGAAGCTTCCTCGCTTGCACTGCCGATATTAATCTTGGAAAAGTACCCTTACAACTTCCCGAAAAAGAGAATTCGGGCTCATTTGGGAGTCGAAAGTTAACTTTCTTTGAATGACAATCAACAGTAGCATGATATGTTGATAGCCAATCCATCCCTAAAATAACATCAAAATCTCGAATATTCAACAACATCAAATCTCCAGGCATTTGAACATTATCGACCAGAAGCATACATCGCTTAAATACACGGTCCACAATAACGAAGTCACTCGTAGGGGTCTCAATACGCAATTCATATTCAAGAGGATCAGGTAGCATATCAAGTTTCTTTGCGAATTCAGTAGAAATGAAAGAATGCGTAGCACCAGGGTTAAACAATGCATAAGCATATTGCGAGGTAATTGAGATATTACCGGCAACTACTGTGTTAGACGTTGCCGCATCCTCTTCCGTCATCGCATAAACCTTCCCTGTCGCCCTTTGTTTTGGCTGATTCTCCTGGGGCCTACCCACTGAGGGAACATCCTTCCTCATGGAACAAAAGCGAGCTATATGACCAGGTTGTCCACATACGAAGCATAATCTACTACCTGCTGGAGTATCTCTCTGCATTGGACAATTCTGCCGCATGTGTCCCATCTTCCCACATAGAAAACAAGTTCCCCGCTTCCAATAGCATTGGCCACTATGATATTTCCCATAAGTAATGCAAGCACCCTGAACAGTTTGACTCTTCCCCCTTTCAAACCTACTAGTGCTTCTTTGTTTGTTGCTGTCACGAATACGGATCTCTTGGAAATTAGTGAACTTCGGCCTCTTGGGCTGAGGAATACCCTGGGTGCCACTCTCCATGATCTCTTGTTCAATCTTAATTGCTCGCTCCAGGACATCCTCATAAGTGGTGAGTAAAAGAGATGCGAGTGTAAAACGAATCTCAGGTCGAAGTCCTCTAAAAAAATGTTCAGCTTTCTCCTTCTCATTTGCCATAAAATGCTCCGCAAACCTGCTCATCTGATTGAAGCGACCCGCATAGTCTAAAACAGAAGAATCACCTTGCGATATATGCAGAAAATCGCCCTTCATCTTTGCTTGGAAGGATTTTGGAAAGAACTGGGCGTTGAACGCTTCTTTGAAGTACTTCCAAGAAATAGTAGCATCTTCATCTCCAAGAGTGGACCTCTTTCCTTCCCACCAATACTCAGCTTCACCTTCCAAATATTGGGTGGCAAAGTCCACCTTCTTATCATTCGGAACTTCTTTAACTCTGAATATTCCCTCTATCTTCCTAATCCATCGCTCAGCTGCAAGAGGATCAGTTTTCCCATCATAAGTGGGCGGCTTTGACTTTCTAAACTGGGCAAAGGTGTAGCCTCTGCCACTCCCAGGTTCACCAGCTTCAACTACAATGTCTTGGGCCCTTGGCTGTTGACTTTCCCCTCTTATTTCTTGCGAGTCTGCTCCTACGTCATCTCACCTTCTTGTCGGAGACCTTACTCTCGGACCTCGAGGCACATCTCTCGAGTCGAAGGTAATGGCTCTCTTTCCCTTATTATTCTTACGAAAAGAGATAAGCGGCTCCGACTTGAAACTCATAATTACCTAAATCCATAATCAAGAATACACCTTAGTATCTAAAACTAATGCATTAAAGTCTATCACACAATCTCACAACGTCCCACACAAAAATCATAACCTACGCTTTGATACCAACAAATGTCACACCCCGAACACAACCAAAACGGGATCATAACACGGCCGTCCTTTCACCCAAAGGACGCAGCCTCAACTTAAACAAAACCCGAATAACATCAGAGCTTTCTAAAACCATCAAAAGGATATATACAAATCCAACAAAAAGCTATTCCAATAGCTCAACGTCACTATGTACAACGTACCCAAAATCCCACAATCAAAAAGAAATCCTCCGACTAACGCCCGCTCACGCCCTACTTTCGGCCAGCAGAAGAACCTGAAAGGTATGTAAGATAAGGGGTGAGCTACCATGGCTCAGTGAGTAACATATTTCTTCTAAGCGGACCAAACAATCACTATGCAATAGTATCAAAAATGTCACAACCCATAACTCAAACTCAATGTACAATATAGCCAAAAATATCTCAAAGGTATAATAACTTTTCAATAAAAGTCATCCGTATCAGATTACTCAATAAAAACTCACTTAACAACAATAGCCAATCATCAATGGTCTATCCATTGACTAATCTCATCACATAACACGTTGATGGTTCATCCATCAACCAATCTCATGCCCGTCATCAAACTATGGTCAAGTTTAACGCCGTGACAAATGCGACCAAGTTTACTCCTCTTGGCAAGGTCTACCACCTATTATAAGCCGGCGGTTCGGCCCAAAAGGATATCCTGACAGTATGCATACTCCCCCCTCAACGGGTTCTCAACATAGGAATACGAGCAGCAGCAACTTATAACTCAATCCAGAAATCCATAATCAACACCAATAAATCCATTTCACAAAACATTTCGTAACAAGAATAGCCCTCGGCTAATCCTCTTCACAAAACCTTTAATATAAGCATTCACAAAAGCTTCATTTCAATAACGTCATAAGACTTTTCAACTCATTTCACAATCGACAAAAGGTAGTAAATGATCAATCCAATTTATGCAGAAAACATGCTCCACTGTATTAAAAATTATATCTCATTATCAAAATATGAATTTGTAAATTCATAGAAAATATAATGTCCCTCACCTGGTAATCCAAAAACTAACCCATATGTGTTACTCGAGCCGACGGTTCCAAAATCCTATCAAACATACGGAAAACGAATCAAAACCGAGTAATACTTCCCCTTAACGCGCAATTCGAATAAGCTAAGGCTAACTAGCCAATAATCCGACACCCATGTGCCCACGACGGCTTGCTCAAAGGAAAAAAATCTAATGCCAACCACAACGAACTACTTGCGCGCCAAATTTCCACGCACCATAACTTCCTCCACCAGACTCCGTTTTGCGCGCTCTTATAGTCAAAACGAAACTCATCTAGTATACTATGGATGTCCCAACACAGCCAACCCAAACAACAGCCCAAAAACGATAATAAAAGCCCTGGAAAGTACTGTTCACGAAATTCCAGATTATGCTCTCAACTTGAAAATTTGATTCCGGACAAACCGTAACTCCAAATCGATATCAGTCAAAACGCACAGCCCCACAACACCATAATCTTTCATTTTCATGGATATTTAAGACTTGACAACCCAAAAAATTGGACTACGCATCTCAAATCCACATAACTCTTATTTCTAAGCCCTAATCGAAAAATTACTCCGATAGGACTAACGAGGGTTGCGAGTACTTACTAGTCATTGCGTTACGTAGTCGGAACCGCTCGGCGAGGACCCACGCGCACAAACCCTCCCTTTCATTTCTTTCCTAACTCCTCTCCTTTTTCCTTTTCTTTTCCTCTGTTTTTCTTCTGTTCTCCCGCGACCAGCCGTTGCTTTCTTCCTTTTATCTTCACTTTTTGATTTTTTTTTTAATCCTCCTTCAGCCTATGACTTTTGACCTGGTCAAAAGAAGAGGCAAATGTTACAACCAGAGAGTTCCTTCCTAGAATTTGGGTGAGCTTGTCCAGACTGCCTCATGAGGATTCCCAAAAAAAGGCAGACATTGTCAAGAGGATGTTGTTCCAGCTAGGTGTTGAAGACGAAGTTGATGATCTCGAAACTAACCTAAGTGCGCTCGTTGCTTTACTCTACAAGCATCTGTGGGGGAAGAAGTATCTGATCGTCTTGGACGGCGTCTGCAATGCGGATGATGAATGGTATTCTGATTTGGGCTTGAGCTTAAGCAACATGGTTCACTGGGGTGACCGCCTTGCGCATGGATTGCCGAAAGGGTATGGTGGGGGAGTCATTGTCACATGTAGGAACGAGGAAATGGCCAGGAAGATGGTCGGAGAGGACAATCTGCACCAGATAATGCCACTTTCGGATCCTAAAATTTGCAGGGCGATATTCAAGAATTCAGCCAAGCAACAAGGAAAGCAAATAGATTCCACCAAAGTGTTGGAGCTGCAGGAGGATATCAAGAATCAATGTGCTGGCCTTCCCTTAGCTGCCAAAATAATGGGTCAAATCTATGAACCAACAACTTCAACAGCACCAGCAAACACTAATCCATGACAGCAACGAGACTGAATTGAAATTTTGTGTTCCTTGCATTTTGTATGTCCTCTTGAAAAAAAATTCCATTTGTTACTGTGTAGAAGTTGTACAATTTGGGTATCTAATCAATGATGGGAACCCATCAATGAATTACATGTTTGATTCTACCTTATTTTGCATTTGGGGCTCTCTGTCATCTTGTTCCAAGACAAAAATAATGACCTCTGCCCAGGTGTTTATACTTCAGTAACACAAGGATTTAACCACTGTAGTCTCTGGCAGCTTGGTTTCAGCAGATCTGGATGGGAATTTTGAAATGTCTGAATGATCAATGTAACTAAATTTAATCATCGGCGAGCAACATTCTGCTAAATAATGATGCAAATAAGACAAGCTGAAGGTTTTTGGGACCTAGAGAAGGACCAGTACGCTCATACTATTCAGACCTGGGACGTGTACTACTTTAGTTGCTCTCCATTAGAAGTTACTTGACACTAGACTGAAAAACGGCATTATTCTGTTTCTCCATGATTGACCATGATTGCGAGAGCAATGAAGTTATATATAAACAGCGTGAGATGAGAACATCATTTCTTGATTATATAAAGTGGGAAGTCTCTTGAAGAAACAAAGATTTGTATAAATTTGGGGCATTCTCGTAGCAGCAAGATAAAATGGTCACAACTTAGTAGGAATCTCCGAAGTTCAAACAAAGCGAATTCATGAGGAACGGTGCACTTTCTGAAGACTTTGTCTCTGCATTTTTCTATCCTTTCTTCATGATCATCTGCAAGATTTCTATTTACAGTTCCTAAAGAAATTGTCATATGACATGATGCTAATGTTGCCTTTGACAGTTTGGTCTATACTCTAGTATGCAGAAGTTTATATGCCTTATTTTTTCCCGAAACATACATTAGAAATTGGGGTTTATTTTATCTTATTAGCATTTATAAATTTTCAAAGAAAATTACTTGTTGAGTCTGTGAGACTTCCTCTCAAGGTATTCTGATGACACTCTGTGAGTAAAACGCCAGAGCCTGTGAGAATTGGATGATTGATTGTGACTTTGTAATCTCCAATAGACAATGAATTCTTTGCAGCCGATTCTTCCCGTGGAGTAAGTACAAATACTCGGACTGAACTATGTATACACCGGCACAAACGTTGTCCTGCGTTTGATATTTAATTGCAAAATCGTTAGGTTATTCAATAAGGAAGACTGACTACCGGAGATCTTTGTAAAATGTAAACACTGGACTTTTGCTGCACATGTACCAAACCACTATGATACTGATATGACTTATTTTTATGCTTGCAACTGATCCCGTTTTGTCTTTTGCTTCATTAGAAAAATCCCATTTAATTGGACAGTTACCCCAGCTAGTCTATTTTATACAGAAAATTAAGCATGAGGTCGGTATTCAAAATTGTCATTTTTTCCTGTTTTTTTTCTCTCTAAACAAGTACTAATCAACTTGCAAATTGAGTTTATTATGAATGCATTTCTTAGCTGCCCGAACTAATTAGCATGGGCATGCATGCACCGATCAGCTGCTACAACAATAGTAGGAGCCTTGAAATCAACTTGTTGTCCAGATTTACTTTTTTTGGTTTTTATTTTTGGATAGGGATAATGGCACAAACACTCCCTGAACTTTGACTCAATGTACAATGTAGTCCCTAAAATTTTAATTTGTGCAATGTGGTCCATGGACTTTTAATTTGTTCAATGTGATCCTTAAACTTTTAGTACATGTTCAAACTAGTCCCCAGACAACATTGAACATTTTTATATAGTTTAAAGACTAATTTAAACATGTACCAAATGTTCATGGACCATATCAAACGAATTAAAAGTTCATGGGCCATATTGTATATTGAGCTAAAGTTCATAGATCACATTGTATATTGAGTCAAAGTTTAGAGGCTATATTGTACATTGAGTCAAAGTTTAGCTAAAATATTCGGAATGATAAATTCCAGCTAAATAATGAGCTTGGAATTGGAAAAACACTTGAAAAAAAAATGGACCAAGGGTACAAAGCGAACTGTTTATCGCGTTTGCTCCGTGGCATTAGCCTATAGCGACAGAATGTTGCCTTTTGGTACCTAAGGCGACAATTTTTTTTCTCCGCCTTTGCTATTTAAGGCCAAAAAAAGAAGAAAATTTATCTTTGGCATCTAAGGTGACAAGATGCTGTCTTACTCAAACGCGACAAAGCTCATTTTCATTGCCAAACAACAACAGTTCGTCGCGTTTATCAGTAAAAGTTTGCTGAGTTAGGTAAAAAATCGGCAACGACTTTGGTAAATTTTTTTGTCATGTTTGATTTACTTTTCGAGCTATGCATGGAGACAAATATTGTATTTCTATCGCTCCTTAGACGTCGTCATTCGTTTGTTTTTAATAGGAATTTGATTATATTTATTTTCTTGTTTTTTTTATCGATGAAGATTAAATTATAAAAAAACGAAAGTTCGTAATTTCATTACATCAGATATGAATAAACTCGACAAATAATTTTACTACTTTAAATATATTATAAATCAACAGCATAATTACAAGGTAAAAAAAATCGAATATTGCAAGTAATTAAATCCAGCAAAAGGTCTTCTCGGTGTCTCTTCCTCTCTGGTACAAACACTGGATTGCAGCAAAAGACATGAACTAGAATTATGAAGTTTTATCGTTAGCTGTATGTGATTAAGCATTAAGCCAAACAACCATATAACTAAACAGAACTTAGAAGGTGTCCTCAATATTACGATGTCGACAACCAAAGCCGGCCGGTCGATGACCGCAACACTGACCCCATATCCGGTTCATTTAAATCTCTTCTCACACAGCGGCGTCCTCCTTCTCCTAGACAAATGTTTTGCTAGTCGTTCTCGACAAATCTTGGTTCAAATGCAGTCTCTACTTTTGCAGCGTAGTACTGTCACCCCAAGTCCAGTGCTGTGCTCTCGAGTAACCAAACTTTCTCAACATTTTAATGAGACCCTGCAGATAAAATTGTTGAAGTCTGCATACCGACTTATGCGAGCATTTGTTGCTCAAAGTATCACGCTTATAGGGTAGTCTGAGCAACGTTCCTCCATAGGGGGAAGAAGGCAAGAAGTTGAGAACACCGCAGCAAGGATAAACGTATGCATCTGAACATTAAAACAGAGCCGGAGATGGCTCAGGTTAATCGTGATCGTGAATTATGAATGAGCATATGTCCAGAGGACTGATAATGGCCATTGCGGAATCCATATTTGGGGATTCCTTGTTCTCACAGTTAAGTGGTTATTATCAGGCAGCATATCTCTAATTGTGCAGTTTAAGGATCATTTCTGAGATTAGCACTCAGATTGAAAGTCACCAGCTTCACAAAGGGAATGCAAAGAATTCTCTAATGGGAGAACTATGTAAGGTGGACATGATTACATAGCCAAACCATAGCTGAACAAAAGCCTTAGATGGGTCAAGTTCTGCTGCTACGAAGTATGAACTAAGCAATAAGCATAGTTATCCAGTTTGCTAGAAAAACGAAAGGGTTGCCATTTTACTTGGAGTGATGAAATTCCATGTAACTCCTGAGACCAAGCAAGATTTCTTCTCTCTCTGACAATGACTGAAAGTTTCTCATCAACTGTAAAGGTAAAAGACTTTCATTGCATCACCAGAATGTAAACAAAGCAAAATGATACTCGATATTACAAACAAAATACCAATACCAGGGGCACTGAAGTTCCATAATAATCATCTGGCAGTCCACTTCCTCTAGGAATGTGCACACTTAATCCATGAACTATTATCATTTAGAGGTGGAAGAAGAAGCAGGAATAGGATGAATTATATTTTTACGTTTAAGAAAAGACCAAGACAAACTCAATCCCGATTCTTCCATCTTTTTCGCTTCCATTTTCCCGTTCAACCAAACTCCATGCTCATCACAGGGGAAGAAAGTGAGCTTGGGACATCTGTCCTTCTCCAAGTAAATTGGCTCTGGAAATGACTTCTGCAGATCTCCCCAATCCATCTTCAGATCACTTAAGAACTTTAGACACAATATCTTAACATTCCATGTTATCCTTTCGTTCTGAATCATGCTTAGTGTCTGGAGATTTCCTCCACATATGTAAAGAGCCTTTTGCGGCTTCAATTTGCCTTGAATCAACCAAGGCGGAGCAGCAGTTTGTGGAAAGCAACGGAGCTCCAATTTCTGCAAGCCCGGGTTGTCTCCTGCATTCAGGGAAGAGGTCCGAGTAGAGCTTCTCCTAAAGGTAAATGCCTTGCTGAGTTTTCTCCCGACTGCAGGAGCTGTCTGTGCTGGTTGAGGAGGTTCATTTGGGTGTGCTGAAATGTTGTCTCGCTGAGTTTTTGTGCTTTTTGTTTTGTCCCCCATCTTGAAACTGACTGCATCACTCGAGTTTGCTGGAGATTTCAGTTGTTTAGACCGTTTCCCTCCCCAAACTATTGTCAACTTCTCAAGCTTCTCAAAACGTTGCAGTACATCTAGCTCTTTGACTGTCGGAAAATCTTCCCTCCCTGCATAGACGCTCAATTTTCTTAAATTGTGCAATTCTGCTAAATCTTCAAGAGTGCATGAGTCATCGGCGCTTATCGAGTCACCGATGACGAACCCCTTAAGAACTTGGAGCTGCTTGAGTAAAGAAAGCTCTTTCGGAATGTGATCCAGCACGTAACACTGCGATATATCCAAATGCGTCAGCTTCTTGAGTGCACCTATTTTCGTAGGAAGCAACTCTAAATTGTGGCATGCATTAAGATCCAGGATTTTCAAGCTGGTGAGCTTGCAAATGGAATCCGGGAGCTCCGAAATTCTAGAAATACCTTGAAGACTCAAGAATTGAAGATGCTTCATATGCTTTAGCCCTTTCAAGAACTCCGTGCCCTCAACTTCTATATGATGGTTGGCTAAATCTTGCCAACTGCCAAGGTATAGTACATGGAGATTTTTCAGCTTCGACAACCAATCCAGCTTAAAATCCCGATAAGGATCATTGAC